TATATATATATATATATATATATATATATTCACATTTTTATTTAGCTAATATACACAAATATACTGTATATGCTGCACACTTTCAAACCTGCTATCTTCTGTTCGCACAGAAGAGTTATTATGTTTTACGCTCTTTTTCCATGCCCTTCTTCCCTACACATACAAAATAAAAGTAATTATGTTTAAAACCCTCCCAGCACTGCTCACCTGCTGATTATATTGTGAAAGCTGTGGTCACAAACAATATAAAACATAACACGTTTCCACACACGCATATGCTTTTTTTCTTATTGATCCAGTGGTTTTGTGCACACGCTGCTTTCTGGCACATAACAGCTCAAGCTTCTTATTTGCTGTTCCACTTTAATACATCAGTGGTTTTTGGCATGCCATTGGAAGGCCTGAAACCACAATAAATCACCCTGATAATCATCTACTTTTTACTTACTAAGCCATAGGGGAGATACATGCTTTTCCTTAAATAATTGTGGTGCAATTCACTAATGCGAAACAATTGCTGCCTGTGGCTATGTAAACTAAGCATGTAGTAAACATAAATTACAGTATGCTTACTTACCTATATAGAGAGAGGAGTCTTTCTTCTGCACATGATCGTCTATGTAGGACACACCCAGGGGCTGAACAGGTGTGGCACCAATACCCAGCAGCACCTGGGCTCCAATCAGAAGCAGGTACATCATGTTGGTATTGGCTCTATTCCCACACGGTTCATCAGCTTTAGAGGTGTTGGAGCACACGTCTCGCCCCAGATCCTTGCTCCATGTGTCTGTGATCTTGTATTGACTAGCGAGGAATTCTGGTAATGCAGAGAGCAGTGCTCCCAAAGCCATGACAATGCCACCGCAGCCAATTAACCGAGGGCGGTTGGCTTTAGCACCAAAATAACTAACGAAGAGAATGAGGGCCAGGTTGCCAATCTCAAAGCTGCTGGCGATGACGCCCACATCAGCGCTCTGAAGATTGAAGCGCCGCTCCAGCGTGGTCAGCACGCTCACCTAAGAGATAAACAAAGCAGAATAAATGCCAAGTTCTGTCATGAAACTCAAATTGATGATATTCACAGCGTTAAACTACTTGGCATAAGCTGTTTGGTTCATGCTGCATATGCAGCCAATGAGCTTGCTGCTTTACATTTCTCTGAAACCTCCACCTCCCCAGCTCCACCTGTATAGATCCTCTACGGGTTATTATATATGCTATTTGTGCAGCAGCAGTATGTCTT